CTCCCCTGTTAAAGCGCGCCGAGGAAGCGTTGACCCGCGGTTACCGACGCCGAGCTCCGACTTATTCGGGGCCTTCGTATCGTGAGCGGAGGCGCAGAATGACCCAGCAGCGTAGTTCCTCAGCTGAGAAGGAGTAATACCGCTCCTTCCTCCCGGCTTTGGCAAGCAGCGGGAGACTGGAAGGCTCGTTCCTCTCCAGATCACTGGCGTGATCTAACAGCAAGAAAAGAAAGAAACACTACATTCAGTGCCCTGCCTAAGAACGTCCCCGAGTGCGTTAGCACGTCCCGCAAGCGGAGTCGGGCACATACGTGCTTCCTATTTTCCCGCTGAGCTGTGCTGGGCTCCCCAGATAGGAACGCAAAGGTGATTCTGTGTCGGCGGCCACTAAATAGAGCTGGAGGTCAGAGTGCACGAGTTTCTTTCTGTGGAATGGATGTACAAACCGTCTCTGGGGCTCGTTACTACACGCCACAGCTTCGCTTCTCCTTGAGCATTCCAAAACCCTTGTAGCCCGAGCACCGCCGCTTACCTGCAGTCCTAGGAAGGCGGCGAGTCCCTGACGAGCGTCGGGAAAGGCTTGCAGACATGACAAAGAGCTGGAGGCTGAGAGGGGGAGCGATGGACGCTGGTTTCACGTAACGGCACTTTTTCCGCTGATTCTTTCCCTCCACACGGCGCGGGAGGAGCGGAGTCCAAGGCGCAGCACTGCTTTTAAGCACAGCTGTACATTTAGGAAAATGGGGCTGGCTGCTCTGCTCTACAGCTGTTGGCCCATAAACACTGGACTCCCAGGTGCCTCCAGACACTCGGCTCAGCCGGCGCGACCCCAACCCTTAGCTCGGGTCAGGCGGCATTTCTAACAAAGCACACTTTCCCGACAACCTTTTTGCGTCCTTCGGCACCCCTCTGACACACCGTTCAGCACCGTTTCTCTTCCAGGCGCTGTCTGGACCCCACTATTACACCTGGGGTGACCACGGCGGCATTCTCGTGGCCATCGCGCAGGGCACCGAGACCGACCAGCTCAAGTAAGCAGCGGGGGGCTGGGGGATCGCCTCTGGTGCTCAGCTAGGGCCGGGAGAGAGTGCCCTGCGGCGGGCGGGACCTTTCCCCTGGCAGCTCTCCCGATCTTCTTTCTCCAGGTACAGCACAAATGAGGGGGAAACCTGGAAAACGTTCACTTTCTCAGAGAAGCCGGTGTTTGTGTACGGCCTGCTTACCGAGCCCGGCGAAAAAAGCACCATCTTCACCATCTTCGGCTCCTACAAAGAGAACGGCCACAGCTGGCTGATACTGCAGATCAACACCACTGACGTGCTGGGTAAGGGGACGGGCGACGGAGCCGTCGCTGATGGCGGTCGTGCGGGCGAGAGCGCCGTCCCGTCGGCACCCCGCGCCTCTGCAGGTTACGCGCGCTATTAAGCCCTCGCCTGAAACCGGCCGGTCCCCGCGCTGCGCTGCCTGCCCCGAGCGCCCCTGTGGGGGCAAGGCGTATCTTGACATACCCACTCTGGGGAGCTGAGCGTGAGGAGCGGTTTTTAGAAGCCCAAAGTGACCTAGAGACTTCAGGCTACGAACCCAACTACTTAGTCGTCCGAGGCTCTTAGCTTCCCGCTAACGAGCACGGGACGTTGGGTGCCTGAATACGAATCAGGTGCAGCTTTGTGGCTCTTGCCCTCTGTCCTGTTTTCCAGAGAGACCCCAGAGAGAAGCCCTCGAGACCGACTCCGGCCGTCCCGCACGAGCCGGGGGAGAGAGGGCGTCTCCCGCGGGGACCGCGGTACCACCATCCGCGTTCGGGTGCCCTGTCCCTCGCGTCCACGTGCACGCGGCTGCTGCGGGCGCTCGTGTCCCCTGCGCCCTCCCCGTACGCCTTCCCTCCTCGCTGGGGAATTTGTGGAAAAGGAAAGGCGAGGAAAAAAACCCTTCTGAAGGCTTGTGCCTATGAATGTTTTATAACCCATTTCAGCTTTGATTGCAAGGCAGCATTTTAATCAAAGAGCAGTTAAACTCAGCAGAGGAATTTGCTTGACTAAAATTTATCACCGATTCCCTTGACATTTTGTTACAAACGGATCTGTTTGGTAACCAGAGCGACTTCATTTCAATGAGGCATCGCAAATTCACTGTTACCGCAACGAGGCTGCTTGTTGCCTCCTGTCACCGAGTGCCGCCGCACGCTCTGAGCTGAAACGCTTTCTCCTTTGCCTTTTCCTTTCGAGCAGGGCTAGAGCCCTGCGGTTGAGGGGAAACCGCTCGGTTCGTGCCGGCGGAGGGCGGCGAGAGGAAAGGAGCAAGGGGCGTTATTGCGGTGCACGGCTGGATCCCGGCACGCCCGCCCTTGCTCCGAGCATCCCAGCTCTCGATGCCACTAGCCGCGCCGAGAGGCCAAGGTTCGCGCAGCCTCCTCGGAGCCTGCGCTAGCTGCTCGGAGCCTGCGGTTCCCCCCGCGAGGCCTTTTGCTCCTCCTCTGACAGCACGGCTCTCTGCGTCCCCCTGGTCCCCGGAGCGCAGCGTGGCCCTGGCGCGGGACACGGTCCCGCGCTTCGCACGTCCTCGCCCGGCACGCGTCAGCGGCGGCGACCGAGGGACGTCTGCGGCTCTCTTGCTTTCGAACCCTCAGTCTGGGGTGCCGCGAGGACCGCGCCTTTCTTTACCCGAAACTTGTTGCTTCTCTTAGGGGTCCCTTGCACGGAGAACGACTACAAACTGTGGTCACCCTCCGACGAGCGAGGCAATGAATGCTTACTGGGCCATAAAACCGTTTTCAAAAGGAGGACTCCTCATGCGACCTGTTTCAACGGGGAAGATTTTGACAGGCCTGTCATGGTCTCCAACTGCTCTTGTACGAGGGAAGACTTTGAATGGTAAATACCTATTATTTTCTTTTAGTCTGGATTGTAAGCCCGAGATAAGTATCTGCGACCGATCGCTCCAAGTGAACAAAGGTCCAGTGTACTTAGCTCTGCATATCACTGCTTCATTTCATAGCGAAGAGGAAACTAAATAGACTGAAAACTTCCTTTCGTTAATAACGGAGCATGAGACTCCTTTAATGTCTTCAGAACCTTTCGGGAGCCCCTGAAAGGTTTCATAGAGGAGGAGTTCCATCACCTTCTTTCGAATGAGGCCAGACAATTTCCCGTTGCATCTGGAGATCCTCCGCTCCAAAGCTTAGCAACTCTTTAGCCACAGAGACGCAACTGGCCCCGCTATAACACTTTGTCTGCAATTTGCACGTTACCGACGCCGCACAGCTCCCAGGATTCGGAAATGCGCCCTGGCCATCTGACGCAAAGGTTTGGGGTTAGAAAGTGACCTGCTTCTCAGGGACTGCACTTTCCGCGGAGCTCTCGGCCGGACCGCTCGAGCGCCCGGTACTCGCGGTTAAGGATAGGGGTCCAGACCTGCCTGTCCGATACAGAGACAGAGCCCCGGTCTGGCTCGTCACGAGCACACTGAGAGTAGGGCTGGCGGGATCCGATTCCTGCCTCAGAATCGCGGCCCTCGGCTCTCTGAAACGTCAGGCGGACACAACCTCTTCCACAGCGTTTCCCTAAGAACAGATACGCTGTGACTCCCATTTTACCAGCAGGAAACGCCAAAAGACAGAGCGGTGATCTAAGCCAGCTAGCGAGAGAACTGGGGCCGCCAGCCAGATTTTCAGAGCGCACGGGGTCGGCTATGTCTTTCTGCCTCACCTACCCTAGTCTGCTCGGCCACTGGCAGACTTATATACAAGATGTTCTTGAAACGTCCCGGAGACAGACGCTGTCTGGCTGTAAGATATTATTATGCAGCTCAATACTGATAATAAACGCATGGACTTCAGAGATTCCTTGGGTTCTTAACACTTCTATGCAAAAATAGAGCAGAGTACTAGTCTAGCGCGACTGCATTTTTCCCTTCTTCCCCGTCCTTCCTTATATCTGTCTTCTCCTTGCAGTGATTTTGGCTTTAAACTGAGCGATGACTTATCGCTAGAAGTTTGCGTCCCCGACCCCGAATTCGCTGGGAAACCGTACGACCCGCCGGTCCCTTGCCCTGTTGGCTCGACTTACAAGAAGACTCGAGGGTACGTCTTGGGAAGGGAATCCGATCTTCCCAATGCTGGGACTTAGGCTATTGGCGATCAAAAAAACCCCAACAACCACCAAACCCACCCACAAACGCCCCGTGAGCGACACTAAACGAATTACGTATTTGGACATACGTCTGATTTGAGACTAAGTACCGCTGCTTATTCTAGCTGCACGTGGTGGGGTGTTTCTGTGACATAACCCGTCTGGCTGTATATGTTGCAGCTACCGAAAGATCTCTGGGGACACTTGTACCGGTGGAGACATCGAGTCACGGCTCGAAGGGGAGCTGGTACCGTGCCCGCTAGCCGGTGAGTACTTGCGGGACCGCTTCGGGCGCAAGGGCTTCGTACCTAACACCTTTGGCCGATGCCTGAGGGACTATGCACAAACTCCATTCCCAGAGGGCTCTCACACAAAACCTATGACACGGGACCAGAAATGCCTCCGTCGCTTACCAATCCATCATCTCCCGTCCCCTCCGGGGCCCAGAGAGCTGCTGAGCGACCTGCTCTGGAGCAACTTCGGCCCCTGGTGCAAAGCCCTGTCTGCTCCTGAAGTCACAGGAGGCTGAGGCCCTCAGAGCAAGCTACAGACGGGAACCCTCTTATCCTCGTTGTGTACTCGCTGTAGCGGGCTGGAACCCACCCTGAAAGACAGGAGTTAGAGCCAAGATGCACCCATTCTGCAAAGACCCTCCGAAAGTTACCTCCCTGAGACAGGCCACCGTACGCAGTCGAACGATGGCCATTTGGGGCCACCACCGGCACAGAGGCTGACTTTTAGTCCTCGAGCCTCTGCCTGCCAGACTTCGCCTCCGTCCTCATTTTCTGCTTTCGAACGTACGCGGCGCCGAAACTCGTGAGGTCTCGTGCTCCTACGCTGCCAAAGTTCTTTGCATTCTGCTCCTTACAGCTTTAATTTAATCTGCCGTCACGAGCCGCGTGATTAGCATGCTGCTGCGCCGCAGCTCGAAAGCCAGCCCGAGACAGGGAAAAGGCTCACGTAAGGGACGGGGCTGCTGAGCCGGCAGGGTGAGCCCGGGGCCAGAGCTGAGCGGAGCCGTAGGGCGGCGGAGCAGTCAGCCTCGCTGGCGTGAGGTTCCCCTGCACCGTCCCAGAATTTTTCAGGGTGCGAAAGACATTCCAGGTGCAAAACGGCCCAGCGGGTGTCTGGGGAAGCGTTCTCTCTACTGGGATTCACGCCAACGCCGTGCTTAGTTTTCCTGCTCGTTCTGAGCCCGACAAGTTATTTGCCCCTCTGAGCCCTCTTGAGCTATTTGGAGAGCTGAGTTAGTCATGCTGAGAAGGGCCTTGCCAATTGAAAAATAAACCTGCAGTCCCCACCGGGCCAGGCTTTGAAGTGCCGTGTTCCCAGAGTATTTGCTGATCGTCTTCAGATACGTGTTGGCTTGCACCATGGTGACGCTTTCATGTACAGTATCCGTTTCGTATCTCCGTATAATCTCATTAGGGATGCAGAGCCAGAGTTACTTACTGACATTAGCTTTACTCATTAATAGCATTATTAGACTTTACCGGTAGCATGCTAACGCCCGGGAGACTTTGTCCCGGACCAGGATCCCATTACGCTGGATTTGATGCCATTTTGAAACAAAACCCACTCTGAGATACCTACTGCGGTGCCGGTGTCCCCTAGGACTCGCAGATTTACATCACTCCCACCTTTCTTACGAGACTTTTGAGGAACAGGAGATCTGTATTTTGTTTCTCGTTGGCGGCAGGCTAACGTGGGAAGGAAGGGGTCGCGACCGATTTGGCCGTCCTTACCTTCTCCTTCGGCCCCTGGAACAAACAACGGCCGCAGTGTGTTCCCGGGCACGAGTGCGGGCCGGAACCGCGTAAGGCTATTAGGGCGTTCTCATTCACCTAATCCCTCCGAGACAAAGGGCCTTTGGCTCCCTTGCGCTGAGGCGCTAAAACATGCGGTCACGGGTACGAAAAAATACCTGGTATTTTCTTTTTGCCCCTCGAGTAGCCTGAAACGTCCAGAGACGTCTAAACAAGGCCCTCCCTGTTCTTGCAGAGGAGAACGAGTTCATTCTCTACGCCACCCGCTACTCCATCCACCGCTACGACCTCGCCTCCGGCGTCAGCGAGGAGCTGCCCCTGGCCGGGCTGCGAGGGGCGGTCGCTCTGGACTTTGACTACGACCACAACTGCTTGTACTGGGCTGACGTGACTCTTGACATTATACAGGTGAGCCGGGGGGCAGAGAGGCCGCTGCCGTGCCGGCCGGCCGCCCGTGTCGTCGCTGCCTTGCGCCGAGGGCAAGGGTGGCATACACTCCTGAAATACAAATGTTTATCTTGGGTACTCCTCCTCTCTGAGCTGTCTGTTATGGCTTGCCTCGCGCGCCTGACCGCGCTCACCTTCAGGCTGCGGAAGTTCCTCACTTTTTATTCTGATTTTTTTGGCAGCGTCTTTGTCTCAACGGCAGCTCTGGGCAGGAAATAATCGTGAGCACTGGGCTGGAAACAGTGGAAGCTTTGGCCTTTGAACCTCTCAGCCAGTTGCTGTACTGGGTCAACGCTGGGATTCCCAAAATTGAGGTACAGCTATGCACGCCCGTGCTACAAAGAGGTGATAGTGTCAGTGCCTCTTTGAGAGGAGCCTGGGCCCCAGGTTGGCCGGTGTCCTGAAGTCTCATTGCCAGTGGGGCGTTACTGAACTCTGGCCACTTTATTGGACCTAAATGCAAACAGGGTACGATAGCTTTCAGCCCCGTGTACTTAAACCGAGGTCAGTTTGCGGGGCCACATTGTGCAGCAGAAACGCAAGGGGGGAGAAAAGCGCCGACATCCTTGCGCGGTACACGTGGCCGACATGGGGTACGGACCGAGCGCCGCGGCAGCCGGCTGCTCGCTCAGTCACGCAGAAACGTCATTAAATACACCGTTCTGTCCTCTTTTATCACCTGCCTCGCAGAAACTGCTCCCTGTGCCCACGACAGCTGTTTTAATAGGGAGCCGTAATTACCTGCCACGGCTTTCACGTCGCTTTACCCAGCGCAACTGCCCCCTGTATTGCCCACAGTGAACACAGCCCTCCTGTTTTTGGTTACGATTCCAGGTTGCCAATCCAGATGGAGACCTGCGACTCACCGTCCTCAATTCCTCGATACTTGAACGTCCCAGAGCCCTCGCTCTGGTTCCCCGAGACGGGTAAGAAAGCAAGCATCACAAGTAGTCAGGTCCCTTGCTATTCCCCAGCAGAACCGTGCCGGTACAGGCCCTCCTGCACCGCTGCGCTTGTAAGAGGTGAACACGAGGGAGGGCGCAGCAGGGACGGGAGCAGCGGTGGGCAGCGCGGCGCGATACAGCTCACAGTGCAGCCCCACGGAGCCCGCACCTGCCATCACGTGCCCAGCTAAGGTGCCAGCCTCCACGAAGCAGAGATCTCAAACCGGTTTTGTCTTTTCATCAAACTGCTGGTTTCCTACCCGTATATATCTACCAGTAAATAACTTCTCCTGCCCGTAAAACTGGTTTGGTCAGTGGGGAGAGCCGCAGCGATGCGTGAAGAAAGCGAGCCACGCTCCAAGTGAAGAGCCAAACGCCACTTAGGTCTTTCCGAGTACGGCTTTGCTGCGGGTGCTGCGCTGCAAACGTAGCAACGACAACCCTGAGCGGCCTTTAGCCGTGCGCGCTGATGCAAAGCAGTTCCACGCAAGGTAACCTACAGCTGCAGTCACACCACAGAACCTGCAGCTACATAAGCCTCTCTGCTGCTTGTAGCTCTGCCGGTGGCGTTCATTAGAATTGCAAAGAGCTCCCTTTCCAAAGGCATGTCTTGCAAGAGACATAGAATGTAAAGTATTCCAACCTCTGCTTCATACCCTGTTTCCTTTTGATGAGCTGTTTTATTATTCTTTCTTGTACCCTCTTTGCCTGCTGTCAGGTTGATGTTCTGGACGGACTGGGGAGACTCCAGAGCTGGCATTTACAGAAGCGACATGGACGGGTCGTCGGCCGGGTGCATCGTTTCGGAGGGCGTGCGGTGGCCGAATGGCATTTCTGTGGATGACCGCTGGATCTACTGGACTGAAGCCTATATGGACAGGATCGAGAGGGTCGATTTCAACGGGCTGCAGAGATCTGTGATCCTTGACAGCCTCCCTCACCCCTACGCTATTGCTGTATTTAAGGTATATGCGTACATACGCGACAGCTCGTTTCCCGTCGGCACGCGTTTCCGGAGCGTGCTTGCTCCGAGGTTGTCTGCGTACGAGGTGGGCGGCAGAGGAGTGTTGAGCGTGCTGCATCGGGAGAGTAGGAGCTGGGGTGCTGCTTGCTCTCTTTCTGCTCCCGGTACGTTCCCACAAAGCCCTGCAACGAGCGGGCAGGAGCAGTTGAAACCAGGCCCAGCATCCGAGAGACGTGCCGCTTTCCCAGGCGGCCGCACTGCGATACCGTCCCCAGACTGCGTGCTGCTCGGCAGATGCGACTGCCGCTTCCGTTCCTGCTCTAACCCCAGCTCGGGTCTTCCTCATCTTCCTCCCCTTGGGTTGGGGAAGCTTTGCACTCTCGATTGCCCCACGCATCCAGGCGGTTAGACTGGCTTAGCGCAGGTAACCGCTGACGAGCACAGCCCCGGCAGCACTGCTGCTCGCGCTAAGAGCCAAGCCTGTGTTTCAGAATGAAATCTACTGGAACGACTGGTCACAGCTGAGTATTTTCAGAGCGTCCAAAACCAGCGGTTCGAGAATGGAGATCTTAGTCGGCCGATTAAATGGGATCATGGATATGAAAATCTTTTACAGAGGGAAGACAACAGGTAATCACGTGAACGTGCAGATGGTCTTCCCTGCGTATTAGAGATGTGTTCGTCCCCAATTTCCACAGGGTCCCAGGCCACCCGCCCATCTCAGCTTCTGTTTCGTGAGCCTGAATATATCCCCATTCCTTCAGAGTGCGAGGCGCTCGGGCGTCATCGTAAGGAATGTGTTTCGCGAGCGGTGCACCCTGCTTTTGGCCTACCAGGAGAGACGCTCCCCATCAGGGAGAGAGTCCGTTGGGCAGCCCTCTGTGGTGGCACCTCATAGCTTCGGTCGCAGACCATGGCCTTTCCCGGCCAACTGCTGTAAGGGCTAAAAAACATACAGGCTCTCGGCACCGCACCAACTCTGTCCTCCACTTAGTCATCCGTCGGGGCTGCAATAAGGCAGCGGCGGCCCCTGCCTGATTAATGCGCTGCAGGGATTGGCTTCGTTTTCAGATGGGTATAAGGCCGTCAAAGGGCTTTGCCAGACAGCACCCTGCAAGAGACTCGGAGGTCCTTTCAGGCCCTCGATCTCCCTGGGGCAGATGGCTCTGTGCACTTCGAAGGCCAGCCTCAGCACTCGGGGCGGCAGAGCTGGCTCCTGACGGGGTCTGAACCCAAAGCCTGGGATGGCGGGTGAGACTGGGCTTCCCTCTGGCCCTCTGTCCTGACGATGTCCCCCTCCTCCCTGCCTTCGCACCAGGGGAGAACGCCTGCATCGCCAAGCCCTGCAGCCTGCTCTGCCTGCCCAAGTCGAACAACGGCAAGAGCTGCAAGTGCCCCGACGGGGTGTCCAGCACCGTGCTGCCCACGGGGGAGGTGAAGTGCGACTGTCCTCGCGGCTACATCATGAAGAACACCACTTGCATAAAGGAAGGTAAAAATCACACGTGGTTCTCGCTGCTGCTTTATGTTGAGAGGAGGCTTCTACCTTTGTGAAAAAGGTCGACATGACCTTTCCGCCGCCCTTTGGGCGCGGTGGAGTACGGCCTGTCTTCTGAAAGCGCGGCGTCATGCCTCACACCAGCTTGTTTTTGGTTTCCCTTTTGCACCAGAAAACACGTGTCTGCCTAACCAGTACAGATGCTTCAATGGGAACTGCATAAACAGCATTTGGCGGTGTGACAACGATAACGACTGTGGGGACATGAGCGATGAGAAGAACTGCCGTAAGTGTCCTGCGGTGGCATTCGCCCGTCCAAATTCAGATGGCTGCTGTGTCAGCATTGCACCTGAGCCGACGGCCTACACTCCCTTTGTAGTCAAGGAGAGGAAGAGGCATCTCCTCCTTCGGTGGATATCCAAAGCCCATCAGATGAGTTGCGTCCTGCAAGGGCCGCTATTTGCCCCTTGACAAGCTCAGGTGTAACTGTCTACCATTCAGTGAGACCGATGGCGGCTGGCACGCGAGGGCACGTGTTTCTCTCGCGCACTAATTGTCTTCTGAGGCTAATCGAGGGCACAGCCAACGCCAAGAAAAGGAGTGCAGATAGAAAGTGGCTGTCTGTCTGCGTCATGCTGACACGGGCCTCTTGTTGAGCTCATAAATCGCGTTCACCTCGATTTAAGACAGAGGTCACCTTTTCGAGTAAACCTGGGGACCACCAATACCTGCAGGAGGGGCAGATCTTCCGCCGCTTTCCATGGCTTTGCAGAGCCTCAAGGGTTTGGATGAGCGCACTGCGGAAAATGGGCCAGGTTTAAAGTTAGGAATCCATGGAGGACCAGGTGTTCCTGGAGAGGTGCCATTTGTGCCCGTTTTGTACCGATAAGGAGCTTATTTTCCTGCCAGCATGGAGGTATCAGTCAGCAAAGTCCAAATTTGAGTTCATTGCCTCGCTTCCTGTGAGGGAAAGCCTCTGTGGGTACCCATTCCTCAGCGGGGGCTCGCTGGGGGTCACCCGTTTGGCACAGGAATGCTGCCTTGGATAGCAACGCTGATGCCCAGCTTTTCTCCTCCTTTGGCTGCCCTGTCTCGTCCCACCACCTGTGGTTTCAGGGCCCCTTTGTGGGGAGCAGGCAGCTGTACGGCCTCGGCTTTCTTGCTCTCTGGCTTGCGAGCAGACATGACGTTGACAGGACCTTTGGTCCTGATCCCCAGGCAGACAGCTAACCCCTCTTTGCTGTGCTTTTGGCAGGGTGCCTAATAATGACATTACAATACACTAACTCAGACCGCACGGAGCAAAGCTCGCAGGGTGCTGTCCCTTTCCCTTGGCTTCCCTGCACCGAGTACTGTACACACACTCAGGTAGCAGAAACCGTTTTCCATCCACCACCTTAACCGCTTCTCCTCCTCCTGTCCCTCCTCGCTGCGTTAGCCACCACCGTGTGTGACGCCGACACCCAGTTCCGCTGCCAGGGCTCGGGGACTTGCATCCCACTGTCCTACAAATGTGACCTGGAGGACGACTGCGGGGATAACAGCGATGAAAGTCACTGTGGTGAGTGCCCTCCCTCAAACCTCCTTGCCTGTCCCCATGCAAGGGCAGAACGCCCTGCAGTGTTCTGGGGCAGGGCGCTACTTGTAGACACCGTAGGGCAAGGCAGTGCTTCGTCAGATCCCCGTTTGTCCCGGCTAGCAGCCGCCTCCTCCCGTCATTTACTGGGTGCTGGGAAATGAGGGACAGGCGAAGAGAGCGAGGCCGCGCGCCGGTTCTCCCCATCGCTGTGGTCCGGCAGGGAGACTTCTGGGCCGTGATTGTCCAGCTCGCCCGCTCTGCTCCTTGGGTACTCCTGTGACCCAAAGCCAAATATTTGTGGGAGATTACAAGCTGACCTTGGGTGGCTGCCCAGCAAGCGCACGGGAAGTGTGGGTTGCTCAGTGGTGCCGTGTTTGTGGCCATCCTCCTCCAGCTTAGCCATTTGGAGAGGTGGGGCATCGAATTGAAGGAGAGAAGAGGCTGGTGAACAGCAAGGCGGTAGTTCTTGGTTGTTCGCGGCTAGGGACAAGGCAGGAAAACAAGCTTTCGAGACAAGACTGCTTCGCAGGGCTGTCTAGTCTGTCGCCTCTGGGATACCAGCCTCCTCTCCTCAGTTAACAGCCCGCGCGAAGCTTTCCTCCTCCTCTCCTCTCCTCTGGCCCCGACGACATCTGAACTGTGCGTGCTTGTTCGCAGAGGCTCACCAGTGTCGAAACGATGAATTCAGCTGCAGCTCGGGGATGTGCATTCGTCTCTCCTGGATGTGTGATGGTGATAACGACTGCAGGGACTGGTCCGATGAAGTGAACTGCACCGGTAAGCACTTCGATGTGATCGATACTCTTCTGCTGCAAATACTCATTACTTTCAGCCTGAGGTGCCTTAAAACATCGGCCCACTTCTTGCGCCTCTGTTCCCTGCTTGTTAGCTGAGCCACCCAACAGGACATCCAGGCAGCCCGCAGCTGCACTCGGGGTGATGTAATGCTCCGAAAGCAAAGGGTTTCTTTCCTCCAGTGCCTCCAATAGGCCTTAGGGCTCGCTATAAATTTGCTGACAGCCTCACAATGCTCACACAGCGATCCAGCTTTGCTTTCTACCTGCAAGGTTGCACTGACAGGCGTGCCTCGCTGCGGTGGCTACAGGGCCGTCCGCCTTCTGCATACCAGCTGGCGGGGGCCGTGCCTTTGAACCTCCATTGAACAGGGAAGGGGTTCTCTCGCTGCCGGACAGTCAAAGGATACTTCTGCGCAAAAAGGGCTCCCCCGTTGCACAGAGGCCGCAGACAGGCCAGCGTGCGCCAATCGCATTTCCCAGCTTGAACTCTGATCCTTTTCTTGCCATTGAATATGTTGCAGAAAACGGGCATGTTCTTTGCAGCTTCTCGACCATCAGTTGATCTGAAGGAGAGGCCGATTTAGTTTGGGAGGTGGCTCCTCTTCTAGCAGCCTCACTTTGCTCCATGGGTCTGAAAATCTAAAGAGCGTGGCAGGAGTATGGAGTCGCACGTGGAAGATCCGCTCTTATTTCACTTACAACTCATATCGATGCAGCCTGGTTGCCAGAAATAGTATCGTTTCTAGTTTACACCTCTCGTGCAGCAAGCCCTACACCCGTGAGCCTCGCTCCCTGTTCGCAGTTGAAAGTCACTACGCTCACCTATCCTCAGCACCGCAGCGTTAAACCCATGTCCCTCGTCGGCCTCCTGAAGTTAACTGCCAGTTAGAGCCTTTTTCTCATTAGAACTGACCACAGATAACAATGTGTTGGTCTTTTCCGTTACAAACAAAAAGCCCCAAAACCCACCGAGCCATGAGAGTTCCGAGTCCATCAGCAAAAGGCGTAAGCTCGTACTTGTAAAGCAACACAGGATATTTCAGGGTTAAAGCAGTGGTTTCCAGGCCACATGGCTGAGATCAGCCCGTCAGAGCAGACGGGCTGATGGGGCCGGGGAAGCCCTGAGGGGGGCCACAAGAGCCCCTGAGGTTACCACCAGCAGCTCTGCTCTGGCTGCAGCCCCGGAGCCATCGGGACAGACAGCGGGGCTAGCTGCTGTCGTGGGGCTCTGGCACGAGGATCTAGGAGATCCCTTTCAGGTCTCCGAGCTCCTGTGTGCTCACCCCCCGTGGCATTTGCCGTGCGTCGAGCATAGGGGGTTTATAACGGGGCGCTGGGGATCCCGGTCGTTAGTATTCCGAGCGCGTGGCTATATGAGAAGCTTTAATTTATATTGGTATCACTTATCTCTCTTATGAGTTTCTCCAGGGAGAATTACCACAGGAAAGAAACCTACTTCAAAAAGCGTTTCGGGTTTGTAAAGCCTAAAGTTGGAATTATCAAGAGGATCACAATTATTTGAGAAACATTTCATCTGACTTCACCAGATGCAATTATTGCTCTTATCTTAAATAATTACATTTCATGCCAAAAACCTAATAGAATATTACTGCCACAAGATTGTAGTATTTTTAAATATCTGCAAGTGCGTGTCACTCGCTAACCGAAAATTCAGTAGCGTGCCTTTTACTTCAGTTGAACACAGCTTCTCTTCTCTGTAACGAGCGCTCTCCTGGTTGAAGAGTTTTCTAAAGGGACAACATAGACTAGGCTTCAACTAAGATACCCTACAGGCAGATATTTTCATGACAGGAGCCTAAGGAAAGCCAAGGCCCCGCTCCTGGGGAAACCCAGGGAGATTTGTGTTTCTAATTTGCTTTGGCAACACAGAAAATCCTCACCTGCCTTAATTAAAGGCTGTCTCAGAGCCTGTCCTCCCCTGAGCAGGGGACCCTGCCGCGCTCTGCCAAGGCTTGCTTGCTCGCTGGGATGTTTCTTGCCATCTCTGGCAAGATGCCACCCTGTCGCCTTTGCCCACACACACGCCAAAGACCAAGATCAAAGGGAACGAGGCTCCTGGCTTTGGGAGGGCTCGCTAGCCTCCGAAAGCTACACCTGAGGCCCAGCAGGCTTGTAAGCAAGCACGGCACAGAGAGGAAAAGACCATGGCGTGACTCAGGGAGAACTTGGACTCCTGGCAGATTCTTGCCTGGGGCCCATGGGGTGGTCGCTTGTGCTGTGGAGCCGCACTTAGCGGTGGGACC